AGTGCGTGGACGGAAAGACTGAAATGATTGAAAGTGACGAAACCCAGCTGATTCCTGGCGAGTCAGCTGATCGCTCGCCCTCTGTCGGCGCGCTCTCTCAAGGCGGGTGATTCAAATGTGCTTCTCTCCCTCGTGCACTGTTCTTGCTATTGCCAATGCTTGTTGTTACTTTTATTTTTATTTTTTTATGTTTTTGCTGTATTGTAATTAGTATACTTTTTATCAACAATTTCATCATTAACATTTTCACCGATGTATTTGTTTCGTGGATAACACCGTCGTATGACTATCATCACTATTCCATTGTTATTGCCAGTGCAACTGTTATCGTCAAGTTAGTTATATAATTAATACCTATATTTTCTAAATGATTTTCCATCGTCCGATAATGCTCTTCACTTATTGCTTGAGTGGTTTGGTTTGGCGTTCATTTGCGAGCATGGATGTTCAGCATTCCACTTGGTTCGCTGTTCAAGAATGGTTCGGTTTGTTTGTATTCTTTTCTTTATTATTACTATTGTTGTTGTTATGATAATAATAATAAATATTATAATTATTATTACTATTACTATTACCATTGTTATTATTAGTATTATAACCATCATCATTATTATTATTATTGTCATTACTGTTAGTATTACTAATGTTATTATTAGTGGTAGTATTAGTAATATTAGCATAATCATAATATAATTGTCATTAATATGTAATGAATATTTTCATTAGTAGGACAGAGATATTGCTCGCACATACGAGCCTTTGTTCAGTTCCATTTTTATCCACTTATAGAAGTACATGTTCCATTGGAACGTTTGTTTTGAGGGCTTTTAATACGTGTTTACGCATGGCCAGTCTCTAGGGCGTGTCTGGCGAATTTTTATAACCAAACGCTCGCACTACCGTATGGATAAATGACTTTGAAATGCATTAGTGGAGGGAATAAATATCGTATTCACTTTTATTTATTCAGTTGTTTTTCCCTCTTAATTTTCAACTTGATTACCGTAGTATATCATCTCAAGTGTTCCGATGTACAGGCCGAGTTATGTAAATCTGGCGTGTGGTTCCCGTAGAGTTATACATGTGTAACGTTTCGCGTGTTCATCGCTAGATCTATGAAAGAACTGTTGGAATTGTCTTTTTTATTGATGTTGGATATTAAGCGATGTACATCAATATACATTTACATAAGACATTGTATTTCATTATTAGTGATGGATATGAGCATTTGCATATTGAATTATGTGTAGGGTAAGGAATTGGTTTACAGTAATTTGCGAAGATTATTACGTTATTCATAACAAAATACATATTGTATTTCATTAATAGCGATGAATATTAAGTTTTGAATGCAAGACTACATACAAAGTAATCCTAAGCTCTTTTAACCACATATCAATATTGGTTAAACACTATTGTATGATTATTGCATCTTGAAGCACAAATGTTTTGTTAGTTACAACTGGTGTTACAGTTTTCCAATAATGAAAATATGAACATAGGATTCTGTGATGGCTTATTGTGGTAGTTTAAATCTGGTTTGCTAGTGCTCAATGCTGTTTTGTGGTAAGGCAGATCAAAATATCTTTTTTCCAAGTATCCCAAGTTAGGAAACTTCCAACATTTTTTAAGTTCGTAGCATTCTGTTAATTATTGAATCTGTGTCATGAGCAGTAGCTGGAATATCTTGCAAAGTTATTTTTCTTTAGTTATATCAAGGATTTCGTTTGATTAAGATATCTTTTATAGCCTTTATATCCATTGTATGTGCATAAACTGTTATGAAACATGAAATGCGTGAAAGTATTATTTTCAGTCAGACTTTTTTGGGGGTAAGGGGGGGGGGGGAAGGTAAAATAACAATGTTGGAGGAAGTGAATTTGTGAAGTTTTAATTATTGTTGGATTGGATGCACAGAACAGGAAGTAATTCGTTTTACTTCTACTACATGGTTGAAAGTTCTGTTTTTGGTTCACTTACTTTGTGTGTGTGTGGATGGGTGTTTTTAAGTGAGTGGTACTAACTGTATTAAATATCTGCTACAGTTTATAGTGAGGAAAGGAACTTTGTCTTTTCTGTGTGTCTATCTGGATAGACAGAAAGATCAACAACCTGTTCATAGAAATATGATTACTTGGATACAATTATGCAATTGTCTTTTCCTTTGAATCTTGATGTTTGTCCTTTTTGTTTTTTAATCATGATTTATGTCCTTTTCCATTTTTTTATAGGTAATATTTTAAACGTTGTATTCGTACTTAGTGAATATGCATGGTTTTCATTGCCTGTTGTAATGAAAGTTTAGTAGAAATATTGTAAATATGTCATTTGTTGCAGTGGAAGCAGTGCAGGTACTCTGTTTCTATTTCTTTCTTTTTTTCCTTCCTTTCCTTCCTCCCTCTCTTCCTTCCTTCCCTCCCTCCCTCTCTCCTTCCCTCCCTCCCTCCCTCCTTCCCTCCCTCCCTTCTTTCTTTTTCTTCTTCTTCAGGACTGACCCAATTTTTTTATTGATTTTATATTTCTGGTTAAGCTTAGCTGTCCACCTGACCTTTTGAAAAGGAGGAAGATTGATTGGGTTGTTTTTATGTTTTTTCTTTCATTGTACTTATTTGCATATTGTTATTTTTCTTTGTTACGTTTTATGTGTTACTGATTATGGATTAGATGAGAATTAGAATGTTACGATTATGGGTTTCTAAGATAATGACCTCAATTTATCTTATCAATGAATAAAAAATAGCCATTCACATGACACAAAAAGTCACAGAGACAATAAGCAAGTGGTGTCACACTGACCATTTCTTTTTTGAGCAGAGAAAAGCTGAACTCCAAAGAGGGAGGGAGAAAGGAAAAGGTCACAGAGAGGAGATGGAAAGGTCGGAATAATAGGGGTGTGAAGGGGAGGTGCAAGAGAGGGATAGGTATTTCAGGCAGGGGGATAAAAAGGGGGTAGGTGTGTTGCGCACTCGTTTTTGTCTTTCGTTTAAGTCTCTCTGAGCCTTCTGTTGCAATTTCCTGATTGTTGAATTAGACTGTTAAAAAGTGTATCTACCAAAAAAGATGCATCCAGTTGTATTGGAATTAACCCATTGGCCACGGATTTATGTTCTGTCCCCTGTTGGTTTTGGTGAATTTTGCTACCTACAGATGGCTCCACATGTACTCAGCCGGCAAGGAGTCTATCAGTAGGCCCTAGTTACCGACCCTGATTTTCCCATTCATTGAATTGGCGGGAAAATTAATATCATTGCTTTCGATGCTGTTATTATTGTTACTGATGTTATGATGATTGAATTGTCATTAGAATATTTTTGACAATAAGATGATACAAAAAAACCTTTCCGAAAGTGAAGGAAAAGGCTAAACAGGTGAAATAGGTAGTTCTTGATAACTGGCTATTTGGTGATTAAGAACTTGTGGAGCCATCTAGGTGTAAATACAATAAATAAACGTGTATCAAAGTGGGTATGGCATCTATTCTTGCCATCCGCGGCGAATGGGTTAAGGTTAACCGTGAACTATGCAGTTACTCTTATTGATCTCATGCGATGGTGCATACTACATTATATTGAATTGACTGTTGATGTTCTACTGTTGTTGTTACTATTGTTATTACTTTGCTGCTGTTATTGTTATTATTATTGATCTTGTTATTGTTATTATTATTACGGTGATTATTGTTATTATATTATTTTTATTATTGTTGCGATGGTGATTATTATTTGTTATTATTGTTTTTATTATTATTATTATTATTATTACAGTTATTATTATTGTTGTTATTGTTATTGTTATTTGCTATTGCTATTATTATTGTTATTATTTTATTTTTTAATTAGATTTTTATTAACATTTTTTTCATTACTTTTGTGATTATCATCATCGTTATCAATATTATCATTATTATATTTATCATTATCTTCATAATGATTTTAGTTATCATAATTAGTTTCAACAAGAACATTTATTATAATAAATGTTGTTATTTGATTTTTGTTTCCTTTTCATATATTGGGAGAAATCTCAGTAATCTTACCTTATTGGAAAGATTTTCTGTATTCGGAAAATAATACAGAAGGAGAAAACATACTCTGATTTGATACTTGTATTTTATACCATTGTGTCATGAGCAGAAGTTTTTTTCTTTATTTTTTCTTTCTTTCTTTCTCTCTTTCTTTCTTTCTTTCTTTTCTATTTCCTGCTGCAGTTTCCGTATTTCCTTAGCCATCTCTCTCTGTGTCTTTACTTCATCTAAAATCTTTGCTTTTTTTTAGTTTTCTTTCTTTCTTTCTTTTTCTCTTTCTTTCTTTTTCACTTTCTTTTTATGAGAACAGTACTGATTACTGATGACGAATGTGCCTTACTTTGATTGCCTTTAACCCCAACTTGGCTTGCTCTCGGGGGAAATATGAGCTTAGATATTGGAAATATTTGCCAATAGCCATAGTGTGATTTGAAGCTTTGGCTACATTGAGCATTTTTCACTACTGTTGTTATTGTTATTAGTAGTAGTAGTGATATAAGTGTTCATTGTTTCTATTATTATTATTATTATTATTGTCATTATTATTGTTATTATTGTTATTGTTTTTTATTCAATCATCATTTGTTCTTCATCATCATCATCAGTCATCATCATCATTATTATTGTCACTTATTATTATCATTATCATTAACTTAAACAATTATCATTATTATTGTTATTATTATTATTATCATTGTTGTTGTCTTTCTTATTATTATTATCATTATTGTTATGATTATTATAATTATTATGATGATCATAAATGTTATTGTTCCTATCTTAATCTTTTAAAATTCTTTGTTATCATCATCATCATCATCTTCATCATTGTTATTACTTCTTATACCATTATTATTACTGCCATAATATAAGATGCAAAAGGGATACACAAACTAATTATGATACTGCATTACTGTTAGAGGTATTGCCCCTCTCGCAAGACAAGCCTCGACTAACCTCTGTGTCATTCTTGCAGACCTGGAAGACTCTGCGGACTTGGCAGCACAGTTCCAGTCGTCTGTGAGCATTGGCGACCACGCCTTCTCACAAATGGAGGAGGACATTGACAAGCAGAGGCTTCTTGGGGGTCAGCCGGCCTATGCCACGGCCGACCCCGAGACTGCCTCCATGACCTCTGACCTCCAGCACAAGCAGAGGTGAGGAGTGCGCTTTCATTGGGGTTGTTTTTTTTTTCTTTCTTTCTTTCTTTCTTTCTTTCTTTCTTTATCTTTTTTTTCTTTTTTTTTCTTTTTTTTTTTCATTTTTCTTTTTTTCCCCTCTTTTGGTATGGATGATTTGCTATTAATTGTACATTAATGAAGTAATGAAAACCAGTGTATTTCCTTTGTTTTGTATTTTTGGTTTCATTCTCTTTTTTGATATCACAATATGACATTGAGATGAGAGATTGAAAGTTGTCATGATATTATAGTGAGGAAATTAACACAGTTGACTGAGTCTTGGATTTACAGTTTGCTTAATGCTTTCCAGGCTGTTCAAAGGTTCCTCGTAGTGGTAGATATTAGTAACATTATGGATGTATTTCTTGCTAGCTGTATGCCATTATAAACCTAGAACATACAAAATAGTAGCTTATTTTCTTTCCCAGTTAAGAACAGATCAAAGATAAACCTTTCATGATGTTTTCAATGAAGTTATTGCAAGTTTGACTCTATTAAAATACTCTTTCTCTACATGATGTGTCACACCACACGACTCTCATATTTGCCACATTGAAATAGATCTTATTACCGCAAGCAAACATGTATTCTGAAGGGAATTATTTTCGTAAGTAAAAGGCAACTCTCCCTAAATACTGAACTTACTGTTATTGACTTGTGGCTTATCTTTGGTTGAGGTGATTGCAAATGGACTTGATTAATGGTCAGTCAAAGCAAGAGGGTCTTCTAGTTTTTTCCTTTGGTTTCCCATTTTCTTTCTCTTCTCTTCTCTTTTCTCTTTTTGTATTTATGATAGAGCTTTCCACTTTGTTTGTTTTTGGTTTTGTTTTTTCGTGTCATTTGTGATCTGCTTTTGTGTGGAAAAGAATATACGGTTCTTTTATATGGTGGTCTCATTATAGTGCCATATATAGATTTAAAAAAGAATTTAGTTTTAGCATATCATTGCCTGTTTATGTAATTTTAAGAATATCAAGACATATAAAGTTTTTTTTCTTCTTCTAAATATCAAAAATTGTATTGTATTATACTGAAAGAAATTTATCAGAGAAAAAAACAATATAACACATTTTATATGTATACATAAAGTAAATTCAACTCATAGATCCAGATGACATGATCGTAATGTCATGAAAAAAATTGGCCAAGGGCTGTGTGACAGGAATATGCCATCATGGAAACTTTTGGCTTTTGGCTCACGTGCCAGATAGGACTTTTCATGAGTGCCCAAAGCTCTTAGAGGAAGATTAGACTCAGTGGGCATATAGGAATGTACTGTCTGTGAGCTATGGCTAGAAGAGTGCCGGCTCTAGAGAGGACACTTTCCATACCCAGGATTCTATTCCTGCCTTGACTAACAGCACAAGATATGTTACAGAAAATGTGACAAGAAACTATAAAAAAGGACACAACTCAACGTTTTTTATTCTTATTGTTATTGATCAGAGATGTAGACTACCTAGAAATATAGAATCTGCTCAGTAAAAACAGTCCATTTTACCATATTGATACAGGATAACAAAAGAAGAAGAAGAAGAAGAAAAAACAAAAAAACAGAAAGATATAACATTGCAAAGGTGTCTTGATATCCCACAAGAGTGTTTGGGTGGGCGGATACAAGCCACTCAAGAAAGCCTAATGCCTGGATTTTGGTCATGGATTGGGATGTGAAGAACATGAATCCAACAGGTTAACAGTTTCCTGTGGAAGAAAAAGTGTATAAATCCATACGATTACTGTAGTCCAGTTAATGCAAGTAAAGGAACGAAGACTTCACTAAAAGTTAGCTCTAAGCAAAAAGGAAAATACTGTAAATTTAAATGACATATTAAACTCAGAAATAAATTCCAATAGCTTGCTCATGGAAATTCCAAATTATACAAAGCAAGCAGCAGGAAAAAAATATGAATATATATGGTTATACAATAGCTTCAAGAAAATATAATGGCCTCATAGATGTTTTTGCCCTCTTACCCTGTTATAAAATTGACAGTAACAAATCTGATCCATAGATAAAAATTAGTTCCTTCCTGAACCTGTGGTGTATCCTAGCTCATGGCCCAATTTAATGCAATAGCTAGTACAGGGCCAGCCAAACTGTATTGCATGTATAGATAATATGAAAAAAAAGTTCTTATAATTACATTGGATCTGGGTGACATGAAGGTCTTGCCATGAAAAAATTTAGCCAAGGGCCTGGTAATGAGAACATCTCATTGTGGGAAATTGTTGCCGAGTGTTGGATGACAGACTCATTTGTTAGTTCTTCCAGGATCTTCACTGGTCTGTGAGGGTGAATTTTACCATTTGTCATTCATGCCTGGGAGAGAAAACATCTTCAGGGAGGACACTATGTCCAGATACAGGAACCTGTTCCTGCCCGCTTTTACCAGCAGTGTAGGGTGTTGTGGAAAATTGAATAATATGAAAATATAAAATCAAACAAACATTACAATGTAACTTATTGCTGTTGTTGCACAGAGTGTAAACTATCTGGAGAAATGATATAGAATGATCAAAGAAAACGGTCTATTATCATCTTAATACAACCTAAATTGCAAAATTGTGCCTACAAGAAAATCTAATAGCCTTCTTTGTTCTATGTGTGGGCTGCAAGGCACCCAGATCCAGTAGATTAAAGCACAATCTATTGAGGTTACATCACTTGGACCAATTTAGTGTGACAGTACTTGCTCCTGCTGGAGAGATTGGCTCAGAGTACTAGGAATAACACAAATTTTCTGCATCATAGTACATGTAATATGTGGCCAAGTGATTGTGACTTCCCTGTTGGCTCTTTAAATGGGAGCATTTGCCCACCTTTGGATGTGGGGGTCACATGGCCTAAATATGGGTATTATTCTTATGTGAGCGGCCACTCTGCTGAACACTCATGTGGTGACAAGATTCTGTGCCTCCCCTCTGCAATGTTATTTTCTCTTTTTATGCAAAAGTGATTTGGGCTTTTTTCCATTTTTCAATATTCATATTAGTTATTTGATTTGCTTTATCCAGATGGTAATAGTTGGTAATAGTTTTCCTTGTACAGACCTCATACCAGCCCTCTAGGTAGTATATAGCTCAGTGCAAGAATAATAGAAATAAATTATTTTTTTTTACTTATGTTAGAAAAAAGTAATATTCAATTTTCTGTAGTGCAACCAGCACTGCCGGTCATGGCGGCTAAAAGTAGGATGCTGAGCATGGAAATGGCATCCTACCCAGAGCTGGCACCCTTTCAGTCATGGCTCATGGACACTACATTCCACACTCATTTGTAGATGGAAATGATTTCTAAATGCCAAAATAGTCTAATCACCCTCCACACTCGCAGTGAGTCTTTGCCATCACCCTGGCTTCCAGCTGAAACGCTCAAGACGACAAGTTCCCATCACCTGGCTCACGGCCCAGATTTCCTATGACAGCATTTTTATGTCACCTGTCCCTCAAGCCAAATTTTTTCATGACATGATGGGCACATCATCTAGAACAAAAGGGGTTAAAATCACCCTTCATCACTTTTGCACTTAAGGTAAAAGCAAAGCATTGAGTCAAGGGTGTTAATCATCATCCAGTAAAAAAAAGTACCAATAACCCAAAATCAATGGTTAAAATTTGGGTGGAGCCAGGTACTGATGGTGTAAATTAGTGCAGAACACTTAGCCTGGGCAACGTTCTGGCTCATCTCAGTAACGGTCATCACCCATCATCAGTTTGTTAAATTATTGTTAGCAAACTAACAATAGATTTGTAATTGGGTGTTGTTTTAAAAACAGGAAGTATTCCTACCATATATATATATATACTCTCTCTCTCTCTCTCTCTCTCTCTCTCTCTCTCTCTCTCTCTCTCTCTCTCTCTCTCTCTCTCTCTCTCTCTCTCTCTCTCTCTCTCTCTTTCTCTCTCTTTCTCTTTCTCTTTCTCTTTCTCTTTCTCTTTCTGTATGTGTGTGTGTGTGTATCTATGCGCGCGCACACACACACACACACACACACACACACACACACACACACACACACACACACACACACACACACACACACACACACACACACACACACACACATACACATACACATACACATACACATACACATACATATACATATACATATACATATACATATATGTACTTATACTTACTTAAATAAAAATATAGACATTCCAAGTCTTACAAAAGTAGGAAATATATATTAGAGGGTTTGTAATTCATATAATGGCACTATGATGAGATATGGCAATGAAAACTTGATTAAGTGTATAATTGGTGATTGTTATTAGTCCAATTATTGCTATATTTAATTTTATGGCACTTCTTCACCTCAACTACATGTACATGCGAGTTAAGCAAAATTTTATATATTTGTCTCAAATTTATCCTTGAAGGAGTTAATGCCCATTTGTTGTTAGAAAGCAATTCACTAATCTCCATATTTATATCTTCATCTGTTAATCAGTTCATGGTAGAATTAGGAAATTTTCTTATCCAAATTTTTTATAGTAACCATTAGTCACTAATCTTTATTCTGAATGCTGTTTCTGTTTTGTTTTGTAATTGTATCTTTTGATTAGATGCATGGATTAGTTTTCCTACAGTATCAGTGATTCTGCTGCACACTGACACTAACTTGGCACGGAATCTGGTTATTGATATTATTATCATCATTGTTTATTATTTATATATTAATTTTTTGTTTGCTTATTTGACATTGTTAACCCAATGCTGCAGGGTGGTTTCCCAATGCAAAAGCCCTCTCTTCTGGGCTGTATTGCCAGTGGCCTGGGCCCCACTGTCAGGGGATTGTGTCAGCACCATAGTGTGCGTGGCATGACCCCGGAACATGGGACCGGTGCACCATGGCACGTATGCACATACCACTCGGAATATGGTCCAAGCAAGCCATGGCATGTACCTACATGCCACCCTGGTGGCAAAGGGTTAAAAAATCTCGACTGCCAACTGTAGTGGCATTCATGTCGAAAACTGAGAAACTACACAGATATGATGTAGGAGCCAGTGACTAGTTTTTGTAGAAAGCCTGTAGGGAATGAAACTAAGAGAGGTGAAACATGGGGCATAGGGAAAAGGGTAGATCGAGGCCAGAGCAAAGATCACAAGAGGCAGGGTTTCCATGCCAAGTTAGCTTAAAAGTAGCACAAAATTATTTGAAAGTCATAGCAACGTCCTACCCAAGCTTATGTTTTGATATTTGGACTATTCCTCCCCAACAGGTATGAGAGGCTCCTCCGCCGTGCCAAGACTGAGGATCTGAGCGAGGTCTCTGGAATTGGGTGCCTCTACCAGTGTGGGGTTGACAAGTTTGGCCGTCCCGTCATCATCTTCATCGGCAAGTGGTTCAAATTCAATGAGATCAATCTGGAAAAGGTATGTGTGGGGAGTTTTTTTCCTTTTTTTTTTCTTTTTTTTTATTATTATTCTCATTCTTATTCTTATTCTTTTTGTCTAATTATTTTCACTGTAGTTTTAGTTTAAATCACTTTTCTTTTTTACATATTTCCTTTTTTCTGTTATCTGTTTTTATTTTCCACTTATTATTGCCTAATCTCCATTTTGTCTATTCAAGACTTTTGAATTTTCTCATCCTTTAGGGGTTAATTGCTTAATCCCTAAAGTTGTGGCTAATCACTGATTGTATTCACAGTCTTATTTACCACATTTGTGGTAGGCCAGCCAAAAACTGGAGGAATATTTTCTCACATTTTTTTTATAAATTATAAATGAGATGTAGTTAGTGTCCAGTAATATATCTTGTAATGTTTGGTAAGTTTCCAGCAACCACACCCACTATCTCTCTTTCTTTCTTTCTTTCTTTCTCTCTTTCTGTCTCTCTTTCTTTCTTTCCTTCTCTCCTCCGCTCCTCCTTCTCTCCTCCTCTCCTCTCCTCCTCTCCTCTCCTCCTCTCCTTTCTCCTTCTCTCCTCTCCTTCTCTCCTCCTCTCCTCCTCTTCTTCTCTCCTCCTCTCCTGATTTGATATCCATTTTCTATTTTTCCTCAGGCCATCCTCTACCTGATCTATCTACTAGACCCCTTGGTGCGTGGCGACTATGTGATCGTCTACTTCCACACTATCACCACAACCGAGAACCATCCCTCGCTTGCTTGGATCAGGGAGGTCTACGAGGTGCTTGAGTATAAGTAAGTGCCAGACTGATTTTTGAGGGGAAGTTTGTACTTTGTTCTACTAATAGGAGAGTAATGGGAGGTAGAGGGTAAGAGCGTGTGAAAGGGTGGGAATTCTGAGAATCTGAGCAGTTTTTATTTGTTGGTGTTTTTTGGGTGTTTTTGCAGTTTGGTGGGTTTCTTGCTTTAGTGTGTTTCTGCATGTGACCTTGTCTTGTCTTGCCTTGCCTTGCTAGTCTCATCTTATTTCATTATCATTGTCAGTACATTTCAAGTGAGGGGTGATGTCTACAGCTGAGTGGTGGTGAGCTGTACTCTGTCTGATTCATCTTGCATTTTATCTAAGGAAAGAAAACTGGCAACCCACCCCAGACTCTGAAGTACTCCAATTTGTATTCTCTTCTTTTTAATTTGGTCAAATTGGCTGATACTTAGTGTATGTAAGCCTGTAATTATATATAGTATTTTTATTGCTTTACACTGCTATATTATTTTTCACAAAAAGGACATAGGAAATTGGAGTATTCTATAGTTTACAGAGGGTTCCTAGATTTCCCTTTCCTGGGATTGGATTGAGTTAAGGCAGTTTTGATTCAGTACTGAAAGACCTGTGATGAACTATAAGTGACTGCTTATTTTGTTAATGCCTGTATCTGACAAGGCTTGTTTGAAATGTTTATGCATATGCCCTGTGTAAGTGGAGGTGTTTGCCGGTGGGGTTCAGTATTGAGGATGTTTGTGTATCTCTTTGAGAGTGTGTAGAGGGGTATTGGTGAATGCATAAACATATACTGATAATGGTGTTCTGCAATTTGTATTCCAATGATTATGCTGAAAATTTCTTCTCCTCCTCCTCCCAGATACAAGAAGAACCTCAAGGCCTTCTACATTGTTCACCCAACGCTATGGACCAAAATTATGACTTGGTGGTTCACTACTTTCATGGCTCCACAGATAAAGCATAAGGTGAGGTGGTTTTGCTGTGCTGTGGTATAATGCGCTGTACTGTCACAGTGTGTTATAATGTACTATTATTTTATAGTGGTTTATAGTGTTACAGTGTATTATAATTCCTCAGGTCAAGCACAAGGTGAGTTTTTTTTTTTACTAGTGTTTTAGTGTATGATGTTGTGATGTAGTTTTATAGTGTGTTATGGCTTCTCAGATCAAGCATTGAGGTTAACTGTTACTTAGTCTGATTGCAGCTTTATACCATATTCTATACAGTGACAATTATGAATTACTATGAATTTTTATGATTTTGTTGTGGCTTTTTAGCATGTTATGTAATCTAACACCAATCACTCTTTGTGTATCCACGTGTAGCCAGGACTTAATCTCTTCTGGTTTCCCTCAGGTTCACTCTGTTCCTGGCGTTGAATACCTGTATGACATCATCGATCAGGACCAGCTGGAGATCCCCGCATACATCACAGAGCATGATATGACAGTGAGTGGAATCTTATATCTATGTGCATTTTACCTTTTTTAATGGATAAGTGATTTTTTTTTTCTCTCTTCACTTTCATTTTTGTGCCTTGAAAGAAAATGTTATAAATTGGTTGATAAGAAACACTTTTTGGTGAAAGAGGATTAGAAGTAGAATTAAGTAATCAATAAAAATATTGTTAAGAAAAAATTTCATTCTCTGATTATTTTAAACAAAATACAGAATTTAGAACATTATATTTTGTTAAGTTTAGAGGGTTATCTTTCATATATATAGATTTTCTTTGTAATGTTAAGTATTTCCCTGTTTTTCTTATTATCTCTCCTGTTCGCAGGTCAATGGAATCCGCTACTACAAGCCAGGCTCGGCATCCTCTTGAAAAGCTTTGAACTCCTTTGGAAATCCAGAGTTGGAATGAGGAAAGATGCTTCTTGTTTTTTATTTTTCATTCTTTCTTTTTTTCTGTTAATGAGTCTGTAGTGTGTGACATGCAATAATGATGATAATTATAAAATGAATGAAAAATCAGGAATAAAAAAAACAACAAAATATGCCGAGAATGAAGAGAAGCGGAGCAAGGATTTTTCAGCGCAGTATTGATGTATGATAGTTGGCATTTTGATCACATTTTCTCATTCTTCCATTGTGGAGAAATATTTTACGTTGTTTTTACAAAGAGCTTTGTGCAGTGATGTAACATATCTTAGCACTACACTTTAGATTGTGGCCTTGTTTTAAGAGAAAAGTAATTGATAGTAATAATAATAATAATCATAACAATATATCATACTGTATATGTAAAAATAAGTCATGCCTGATTACTCCTTGATCAAGGTAGATATTACATGCACTATTCATGTCCTTTCAAGATAGTAGAGTAGAAATCAAAATATATGGAAGATATAGAAAGCAAACCGTAAATGTAGAGAAAAGAAATCCATCTTTTTCTCTCTCTCTCGGGTTGGGGGAGCATGTGTTTTGTATATACCATTTACCTATTTTTACTGGCAATATACCCATTGCTCAATAACTTACCAAGGAGTCTCCTTACCTCCACCCCTTACCCTTTACCCCTTCTCCCCCCTTTCTCTCTAAGCTTCCCTGACATGAGCAGTAATATCTTTTTTCTGTGGTGTACATAAAGACTAAACAATCAAGGTGTTTGTCAGTGAATTGAGGATGCAATCAACATATCTCTCTTGTATATGTACGTATGTGCATTTGATGGAGCCATGTTTGGTGTTCCAATTTTTTTTTCTTTTCTTTTTCTTTTCCAATTGTCACGGCATTGATTAAAACCTTGTTAGAGATGGAGTGGTTTATGTTTGTTTTCCTTCATCTTTTTTTCTTTCTTTTCTTTCTTTTTTTAGTTTTACTGTTTGCTTATGCTTCTGTCTGTTCTTGCTGCTTCTCAAGTTTTTACTTATCTTTCTTTAAGTACATCATTTTTCATGACTTAAGACATAAGACAGTGGCTTATGAAAGAATCTTCTCATTGTTGAACACTTATGTGCTTTGCAAATTAAATGTTACAAGTCTTTCCAGAATGTCTGTGTTGGCATGTACTTGCATATGTGCATTTTGAGTGAGGGAATGAAGGAGGACAAGAGAGAGTGAAAGTGAAGAAGAAAAAGGGAGTGAGTGAGTGAGTGAAAGAGTCATTGGTGATTTGAAGGGAAAGAGAGAGAGAGAGGAGAAGGAGAGAAAGTGAGGGTGTGTCTTGAATGAGTAAATACAACCATTTGGATCTGGACAAAGAATGAAAGAATTTGTATGTAACCTTGTACCATTTAAATTGTAGAGCATATCTAATTATCTTCTCTGTAAAGTTCAGCGACACAATACACTGAAAGTCACTGTGAAAAACATGAGATTTTTGTAAATTAAGGAGATTAACAATCAAAGAAATAAGACAATAATAGATTTTTTTCTTGTATTTATTTACAAAGAAATTCACCCAAGTCATGTTATTTGCTTCCATTATAATCATATTCTGTAATTAGTACAAGAAAAGTTGCATTTATTTATTTATTTGTTTTTTCTTACTTATACATATCATTTGTTGAAGCCTTACTTACAGATGTTCTGTTTACTCTCTTATTTCTTTGTTTCCTTCATTCCCATTTTTAGCATGAATTATTAATATAAGAAGAGATCGAGTAATATGATATATAGTAAAGTATGATCAAGTTTAAGGGGAGCACTGGAGTAGAACATACATATCATTGAATTAATAATAATAATAAAGAGAAGGAAAACATTAATTGAATTAAAGCAGATATTCCCAATCATGATTTAACCAGTTCTCACAGTTGATGCCCAAAATCCTAAAAGCATATTATGTGATTTTTAATCTTTTTAAATGCTGTAAGTTCCAGAAGTAATATTTTGAGGCTGGGAAATCAGAGCCATAAATCAAGCATTACTTGAGCAACTTTTTTGACATCTGTGTGCCTTTCTCTGCTGCTTTTGGTTGTTTAATTAGTCAGAGAACCTGTATGACATCCAGCCTGTACAGAATACCATTTTGATGAGGTCTTTATGGTTAGTAAGTGGAGGTATCAGGAGGCACCATCTTCATTGCTGACAGGTATTATATTAAGATTATATTTATTACTATCTGGAGCCATGAGTTCCTTTTAGGTGTCTCATTTACCGGACCTTCTCATGTGGAATCTTGGATAAATACAAGTTCTTGGAAATGAGCTTCTCAGATGTTGGATGTGTATTCCTATGCGATGACATCAGTTGGTGAAGTATAGCATAAATTGCTTTCCTCAGTCTCATGGTCATTGCTCACATTATGACCTTTCCATATTACTGACAGCTGGCTAGTGATGTCTCTAAGAATGTGTGTAAAACCAAGAAAGCTTTATATACCTTGTCTTCTTACCAATCTTGGTGGTGACAGATTCACTGGCTATCCTCCTCTCCATGTAATTATATTCTTTGGTAACAAGATGTTCTTTATAAGAGCATTGTCCTTCATATAATCTACAGAGAGCTTTGTATACATTCAAGTCCTTGTCATCAACAGAGTAACCAGAGTAGCACCACACACTGTCTCCATGTGAGCTGTAATTTGATGTGACCTCTGTAGTAATAGTGTGTAGGTATTAATAACAAAACAAATAACAAAGGAATGTTTTAACATTTGCAAAGGTTCCTACTTGAAAGTTCTCTGCTAAAAAGTCTTTTGTGGGACAGTGTGTCCTGCTCCAGTTATGAGGCAAAAATAATCATGACATTTAACATGATAAGAGCCCTTGTGGAAGTTGCAGGCTGTGAAACTATGCCACATTCATGGAGAAACATCTTTTAAGAGTAGATTGTGATTTTGGAATGAAGGGTATGTTGTGGTATCTGAGATACAGCTGTTGGTTTTTGGTATGGGAAGGCAGAGTAGTGAGGAAGACAAGTAAGGCCAGTGCAGAACAGCTATCAGTGGCAGACATGTTCAAGCCATGGAGGGTGGTTTTTCCTTCTTCAGGCATTTTTCCTCTTGTCTCCCTAATTTACTTTTTATGCTGTTGTCTTTTTCTTAGGCTTTTGGGTTTTCATAGCATGCTGAAATAAAGTATTAATGAAGTTTGAAGAAGACTCACTGAATGACAGAATGTAGTTCAACCCAGTCCCCTTGTTAAATGCTGATCTCCACCCAGGCCTTGGGACTTGTATACTTGTGCAGCAAAAAGCCAGTTAGCTTCTAAATATCACTGAAAATCTACCATTACTGCTTATTTTGTAAGTTTTGCAAGAAACCTTGAGCCTTAGAAAGATGAAGGATACCTAAACAAAGGATTTTTGCTGAATGTCAATATTTTCCAGTAATGCACTAACCTCTCCAATGCTCCCCTTAAGGAAGCAGTGGTCAGTGCCTATAAAGTCACACATGAAGAAATGGTAAGGTGATGACATTAGATCAGGAAATTACACCCGACTTGACTGCATAAGAGACATTGTCAACTATTTTACTGTTAACACTTGAAATAATATAATGTATATAAATGTCTTTTTGTTCTCTAAAAGAGGAAGCCATAGAAGAAATATAAGGGAAAATTATTATCTGTTGACCATGCTTAAATATTGTTAATGATATTGTATATACTTATCTAAGATGTTATACATTGCACATTATGAATTGAGCAGTATGTTTAAGCAGTGTACTATACTTTGTGGCATGTCAGCTCAGTTTCAGGTCAAAATAAAACTCCTGTCAGGATGTGCTTCCAAAGTTGGGTTGGAGTTCAGAGATAGCACAGTTTTCTTCTTTTTTCAGACCAGTTGTTGTTAATGTTGAAGAGTGTTCTGAACTATCTTGTTTCTCATTGGCAAAGAATGGAAACTAGTAGTAATAATAATTGATAAGAAAAGAGAAATAAATAGTAACAGACAAGTAAAAAGGAAAGTGTGATGACTCTGAACTTTCTCCCTAAGAAGTAAAAAAAAAAAAAGAGAAAAAGAAAGAAGACTTAAGTGAGACTTCAGATCACTTGATATCCTTGTCATCACTTACTTCAGGATACACGTGCATTGCAAATCAAATACAAGCACCCAGGCTGAGGTTTGGTGTGCACTGTGGCATTAACCAGTGAGTAGTGTGTTATTGAAGTAGATATGCACAGGTCTCTTTGGAAAGCTTGTGAGAACTATAGCTGGGAAACTATTTTCACTTTGAACAGATACAAGGCATTATTTGTTTTTATTTATTTTGTGATTATTATCTTTTTGTTTGAAGATTTTTTTTTATTCATATTCATATATGCATTTAAATATTAAATTGATTTAGATTTATGGAAATATCCATAAATGTGTTTTCTTCAGAGGGAAAGAAATTTGTATCAGATTGTAACTGCACAGTGAAGCAAAGACAAGGTGTTATGGATCAAACGTTTTGTGTACAGAGACTCAGTTCCTCAGCAGCAGCCCTAGTAATAATACTTAACCATATCTGTACAGCTGCTTTGGTAAAGAGATGGGAGAAGCCTCTTAGTTATTACACAAAAAAAAGAGAGAAAAAAAATGTATACCGGCTATAATCTTGTGTGCGTAAAGTGCTTGCTCCAACTGTTGATTCCATTTGACGAGAGCAATGAAATTATTCTTAGGAACCCCAAGCAGGTAGTCCACTTTTATTTTGTGATAATAGTGCCATCAGATTTCTTGCTTAGAGTAGTTGTAGTTTGTATGAAAATTTTGATAAATGCATAAGTTTATATTGCTATAGTTTGGTTTATATATGTTGTAGTGGAGATGTTTTGCTAGTTTTTTTGTTACATTTGATAACATAGTTATAGATTTTATACTTGTTGAATATTCATACTTTCCTTGTATATTATGTTAGAAATTAAAAATATATTGTTGATACCCAAAATAGGTCATTAGAAATGGGATTACAATTTCAAAAAAAAAAAAGATATAAAATAATGGTTTTGATTCCAAGCATATGAAATTGATATAAAATGCTTTGTTTTACATTATATTTTATGACCAAGTTATTGGTTCTGGATGCTATGCACATGCTTTGATAAGAAGGAAATGGGCAAATACCATATAGTTTTTTTACAACGAGATTTTCTTTCTTTCTCTTTTTTCTCATTTTCTTTTTTCTTTTCTTTTTCTTTTCCCCTTTTTTTGGTGTTTGTTATAATCAGTAACAAAAGTTTAATGATGTTGCAGTTTGGGAAGTAAGTGCTGTCTGTCCCGATGTTTTTTCCAGAATAAACAAACAATAAGGGAATCATATGGCTCCTTTTGCCTTGCGAGTTGACAGTTGCTTGGAACTTATGCCAGCACCTTAAGGGATGTAGCTTTGCGGTTTCCCAACCCCTGAAAATGCACACACATCCCTTAGTGTGAGGAATGAGTTTTTTAGAGATATAAACAAAACGTATTTTTGTAGTTGCCGCAGATTGTTGGAACTTTTGTCTTAATAGCCTTGATGTTGTGTATAATCAGTAAACAGTAGTAGGCCATATATCTTGGAATGACTGGACAAAATAGACAAAGAGAGAAAAAGAGATATACCCTAGGCAGCTATAGGTACTTCCAAGTAGCAGTAGTGTCCAGCAGGCTTAACGATGACGACAACAACAGTGCCACGGGGAATCTGGGTTGTCATTTTATGAAACTTATTCCGTTATGCGTGTGACACACTCTGATCACAGATTTACTGTGATTACATAGAGAAAGAGTTGCTGAGTCGTTTGACCTCTTTTGATCTTGCAGTTTTTTGGTACCAGTAAAGATTTTTATACTGGGTAACCTTTAGCAAGTTTTAAATCAAGAACAGTATAATTAAGACTACTGTTGCTACAAAAACATAAATTTCATATCGTCTGTTATGAATATGGTAAATATTGATTAAATAAGAATAATTAATTTAACAGAAGGGAAAAGCTTGAAAATCTTTTTTAATAGCCCACTAATATAATGCGCCTTCACCTGAAGGACAAAAACTACGGATTCATAAGTAGTAATTACTATAGGCCAAAGATTACTTAATGTCTTGAAATAATTTTATAGATATATTATGTTGAGTAGATATCACACACACACACACATATATATATATGTAAATATATGTAAACACCAGTCATATGCATTGACTGTCACAGTGCTCTTATCTTCAGTATTTAAAATAGTTTATTTTAATTTGATTTTTTTTATTGTATCTGTTAGGCATGTGGAAAGGAAACTCCTTTGTTTTGCCTTTAATAATCATTTATAATGATTTTTTTCTTTCTTCTTTTTTTTATAGTCTATTGAATTTTAATTAGTTTTTTTTGTCTGATGTGTAAACCTGAATATTTATTGACACTGATAACTATTAGAAAGTTATATTTGGAGGAATATTCTTTCTTTTTTTCTTTATTACTTTCCTTTTCCTGGCCTATATAAACATTATTATTAGACCATTTAATGACAATATGATGGAACTTTCCTTCCCTTAGAGATATCAAACTTATTTTGAACTTGATCTTATCATCAGAGGTCCAAGACTAAGCTCTTACAGAAGTAGCAACAGAAAGTTTTCAAAGACTATTCCATGTTCAAGGAGGAAAGTGGAGTTCATCATTGAGCGGAGACTGAGTCCAGCAGGAGAAATTTGTTCAAGCACACTGTAGCTTCTATAACATTCTCCCAAAAGCAGGGACATTTACCTTGCATGTCTCAGACTATTACTCAAAAGCTCTCTTATAAAAAAAAAAAAAAGTAACCTAGTATGGCTAGAGAGTAGTACAAGGTAAATAGTAGATAATTAAAACAATAATAAGATAAAACTTATCTGCAGCATCAACTAAGAATAGATAGAATGCCACTTGGTCTCTCCCTCCCTCCCACGTGTGTCTTTGGCCCGTGATCTTGCACTATGCTATAAGAACCCTTTATACTGCTACAGCTCAGATAATGAGTATAGTGTTGCAGTTCCCCTTATATTTTGTCATCAAAGTAGCTTTTATCTATTTTATTTTGAGGTTTTGTTTATGATTTGGCAAACTTAATTTTAATCTATTTATAGAGTTGCAGTTCTTGTTAATAGTATGGTTGTAAGATCTACAGATATAATAATTAGAAGTTTTTGTTTAGCCTCAGACTGTTACTTTATATTCTTTATTTATCATTATACTTTTATTACTACTATTTAGTACAATTAATTTTTGATGATGCTTTACATGTTCCAGGTGTACAGTATATAGGTTATTAGAGTTGCTGTTAACATGTTAATGATACTGTATAATAAAAAATATTAAAAATGAATAAACTGTTCACAACAAAAATTGCAATGTTTGAATTCCATCCTCCTTTTTTAACCTATTTATACTGGGAGTGCTTGCATTGTTAATTAATTTTTACACTGATGGCTAGCGCAAGGACTTTGTCACCATGAAGTCAATTGCTTGGCTTAATTTCTTGAATATATACACATCTATTTTTCTTTTTGACTATCATTACCATTATTACTGCTAATAGTGAATGGGGTAAACTGGTGAGGCCAAGTAGACCTAACATTTGACTTGTTAAGGATGAGCTTCTGGAGCCATCTATTTTTTAACAAAATGAACAGAATCATAGTGGACAGTGCAAGCACCCATTCCCAACAAGTTAATTACCAAATTCTGAAATGGTGTGGGCCATTGCATAAAACAGCATTACATATTTAATGGTTGATGTTACCTGCAAATAGAAATATGTAAATAGCACAAGATAAAAAAAAATGGTGCATGGACATTATTATAAAAAAAAATGCAAAAAAATCACAAAAAGATTTCCATATAACCGGATCAAAAGCAGCATTCTTACTAATGCTGAATTATATTTTTATTACAGTAGCTGTAACCCTTTTGTGAATGCATCATCAGTACTCTGGGAAAACAGCAACTATTAGGGAAATAACTATACCAAGTTTCTATACCAAGTCAGCAAAATGGGCACTAAAAAATAAAGAAAATGAAGTATGAATTGAGAATATTGGAAAATAAACAAAATTTTACCTTACATTATTTTGATTTAGTTGAAATCCCACTGAAACAGAATAGGTAAAAATCCTCTTTTATTTCCAAAGCCTTTTCCATTACCAATGTTTCTCTGCTGAAAAGATGTGGATATGATATTTCCATCACAACTAATCTGTAAACACGAAGCAGAAGTAATGATGGCATTTGTAATTAAAAGAAATACACAAGTAAAATATCTGAAAAAGAGGCATACACATATGGAATGATTATAATTTGTTTGATCTTTGTATTTAACCCACTCACAATGAAAGCTGCCAAACCAAAATTATGTATCAGGGTACACATAGAATCAGCTGCTTGATGGAAAGTTTAGGAAACATAAAATTACCTTGCTTTCTATGCTCTTGAGATCTGTCATAAACAAAGCCAGACTGGCTTTAAGCCTACTTTTGAGGAGCTGCTTCTCCTCAGCCAGGGCCTATAA